CAGAAACCTACTCAGGTCCCCGTCACCTTCTCCAGTTGGACAGGGAGCTGAGAGTAAATGGAGCACAAATATCTGTGTTTGGGGATGGAGAATAGGGAGAATGAAAGTCAAGAGAAGAAGGGGTAAGAAAGAAAGCAGGAAAGAACAGGTAGCAGAACTCATGTTGTTAAGGAGGGAAAAGGGAATACAGGAAAAAGGGTTGAAGAGCAGAGAAAACACTAGCAATTTCTGACCTAGGACCAAATAAATATAAACTAAACAAAGATAATACTAGTAGACATTTGAAAAGGAAGCTTCTTTCCCCTCCTACATGTGATCCTCCTCATCTCCCTCCATCATCTGCTAATCCACCACCTTTTCTCCTGCTCTTCATCTTCCTCTTTTCATTTTTGATTTCCTTAAAATGTAGGGACTTTGAACTTAATGTTCTAGCCAGTGAGAAGAAACTGACATTTGTAGTAAGGGTGGAATTGGAAGGGCATGTTACAATTATATTTGCATTCTAAATGAAAACCCTATAAAGCATTTGAGATTTGGTCATGAGGCAAAAATAGTGCCATACATATCGTGTTTGTACCAATAATACATTGTAGATTATTTGGCCGCTTAGATCTCTTTTCAATAAGCACCTGAATCTGGGAGCCCAGAAAACCAAGAAGAGTCACCAACATCACAGGCCTGCCAGTCCCATCTATTCCTAAAGAGAATGCCTCAGACTTCCAGTAGGATGGAGGAATAGGCAGACAAGCGACACAGACCCTCTTCAACAAAGAAAAGAAAAAACAATTGACAGAGATACAGAAGATAATCCTGGAACCCTGAGCTTTGAAAAGAACTATACAGAAGTGGATTAGGCACCAATGAGTGGGAAAACCTGAACGAAAATAATGAGTACAGAGACGGTTGGAGCTGCGGACTATCAGCTACTCTGACGAGACCAATAGCCTGAATATTTCCAAGTGGTGTTAGGACCTGAGAATTGACCTAAAGATCAGTCCCAGTCACCAAGCGCTGCAGGGACAACTGCTCTGGTGGCCTATGAGTAGGAAGGGAAACAGCTGTAGACTTTCTGCTGCCAGAGGGCGCAGCCATTTTGAATGTTCACAAGCAGTGGCCATATTGGATATTTAAAGTGACTGAGGGTGCAGCCATTTTGAAACTATACAAGTGGCAACCGTTCTGGATTTTAAAGTGATAGCATTCTCATTTGGGTTCCAGGGACCTAAGAACAGACTCTGTTTGCCAGGGTCGGCAAGGACATACGAGAGGCTAACAAAGGAAAGGAGACAGGTGGTGAGTGCATAAGTGCTGTCAACTAGCGAATAGAGGAGCACAGCACAGTACCCTGTCTGTACAGATAACATACAAAGAAAACAAAAAATTGTGGGCAAGTCACTCCAACATATAATCACCAATTAAATATAAACACAAAAGTGTCAC